GAGAAAAAAAAGTTGTTACCTTGACTAAATACGTTTTTCTCAGTGTACAATCATACTTTATTGTCTCAAGAGATGTTTGATTTATTAATAATTTTACCTAATCTTATGACCCAATTACTCAATGATATTTTTCGGGTAGAAACGATCATCCAAGTATGATCATTGGCCAAGCCACATTGGGTATAGAAATGATGGAAGAGAATGCCAATATAAATGCCGAAGCAGTCATATTACCCACGTCAATTAATGGTTGCGGACTTATCACGGGTATTGCGATGGCTATCAAAGGACGGAATTCAAATATAAAGATTATTGTAAGTAAACAACAATGATATTTTTTTATAACTGCAAATTGTAAAATGTTATTTTATAATGCCGTAAATCCATAATTTATCTTAAGAAGAAAAATGCATTGTAAATAAAAAGAGAAATTTGTGAAAACTTTACATGTAATCTCTATTTTTAGAAGGTCAAGTCTGCACTACATGATTCTTTAATCAAATCTATTAGAAAAGAAACGATGAGTCAGCAGGAAATAAAAACTAAACCAGAAAATAGATATGATTGGTTTAAGAATAAGAAGGGAGGAATTCAAGAACAATTATTTTATAAGATTTTTAATAAAGTAGAAGATAGGTTTGTTAAAACTGCCAAAATTCTACTAAAAGAAGAAAATATCGACGACTTACGTGCAGCAATTGGTTTAGCTGCACTTTTATCTGGCAAACTTGACGAGCTAAAGGGAAAAAAGTAAGCTCTGTCATATAAATTTAATAGTTTTTTAATAGCTTTCTTTAAAATTTATTAATTCCGCGTATATAAAGGCGCGTTATATGTGTTTTGTGATCAGTAAGTGCTCACTTTCCTGTTTTGTAGTTAATAAAGTTGTAATTTACTATTGTAATATATTATAATATTATAATAATATTATTTAATAACATAATTTTTTTGTGTGCGTTAGGATAGTAATACCTGTATTCGGCGAGATGGACTTGTCTGATGATAAGACGGATGATAATCCAAGTTCAGAACCTCGTGCTGGCCCCTCAAACGCTTGAATAGAGGCATATTTTCATTTCTAAATAGATTGACAAAGAGGAATGTTAAGAAAACTCCGCATACATTCAAGGTTTAAATAATCTAAAACATCTGGAACACCGAACTAATCGCACAACTCGAGAAACGCGCAGTGGATAAAGTTACGAAAAGGATGATAAGAAAGGTGCTTCAAAGATGTTTTTTAGCCACACATACAATACTGAAAGAATTTTATTAACATTTCTCTATCTGTACAGCAAATATTTGTATTTTTATAAAAATGGAGTAGTATAAATTATGTCAATAATAAACAAATATATACCTACATGTAAGATAACTTTTTTAAATGTGATAAATACATACCCAGATAGCACAGTGAATTCCTAAAATATTCCTAAACTTTTCTTCTTTCCTGAACTGCAATTCTTTAAAAATTCATGAAAGTATACTTTAAGAATGATTTAAGGCTCCTGGATGGTCAGCCGAGAACTCTGCGTTGACGGTGGCGCCGCCACTCTCTCCTCTCACTCTCTCCAATGGAGAATTCTGTCTTGTGACATGTTGACAACCTATTTTGTCGTCCTTGCTATTTCTTTATTACTCGCTCTGTGCTTGTGCTCTAACGTTTAACGTATTCGTGAAAATCGTAAAATTGACCGAAAAGTAAGATTTGCATGCGGTAGTAACGTTTTCACCTCCTTTCGATAGTCGTTAAACGGCTGTTTTTCCCGTATGTTTAGGCTTTGTTTTATGGCTGTTTGTTTATTGTCGAGGGAAAAGGGTAGTTTTCGGTCAATTTCGGAAGTGTTCTGAAACGATCTATAGTGATGTTTTATTGAAATGTCTCTTTATTTGAAAATGGTACGGACGACAAAATTGGGTGTTTTCCTCGCCTCAATAGTGAGAATTCAATATGGCCGCGGTGACCATCCAGGAGCCTTAAGAAGTTACATGCACCATAATTCTAGTTCCCGAAAACTTCTTAGAGTATTCTTTTGGAATTATTTCCTATCAACAAAATGTATACTTTATGAATTCAAGAGGATTATTGTTTTGCCCGTTCTAGACTGGAGGATGATCCTACTCGCGGCTCATCCTAGTGAGTAGTGTAAACGGATAGAAATCATGGATAATCAATGATTTTTACCCGTCTACATTACTCACTAGGATGAGCCGCGAGTAAGATCATCCTCCAGTCTAGAACGGGCATTTGAGAACAGAGAGAGGATTAAGGGTGCGTTCGGGGAGATGCTATTAACGCTAATAGCGTCATTTTATCTTTTTTTCATGTAATGAACGATAAAGATAGTTCCCCGAACGCGCCCTAAAAGAACCCAATAAAAAATAACAAATTATATTAATATTATAATTTTACATTAATATTTTTATTGATATAAAATATTTCTTGGTCATGTATTTATTTAATAATACGACGTTTAGTCGTTGTGAAAATCAAATCATACAGATTATAATTTTTTAACCTATTATCTATTTATAAATTAATTTGCAAAATTTTAATTAATTTCCTACATATAAAATTAATATTAATTTGTTATTATGGAATTTTTAATTGTGTAAATTAAATTTTTATCTTTTTATGTGTAGACAATTAAAAAAATTTATATCGGTCGAAGGAGTCTGCCTAATTATTCTCATCGGCTTCGTCGTTCACCCAATAACAGTCTGAAGAACTTCTCTTGATTCGCAGAGAACAGCGTAAAATGATCTTCGACAGCCCGCCGTTCACAACCAATCACATCCGGTCGCCCCGTAATTTGTCACTTAATTAATCAGGAAACAAGTTTCTCTTACACACTCTCTGGTACGATTTTGTCGTAATGGAAGGTGCTGCTCGAGTAGAAGCTATTTCCTCGGCGTGGCTATTTCCTCCTGCAGGGATTTGTACACCAAACCGCAGTTCTTGTTGTCGACCAATTCCTGACGGTGGATCAGGGATGGCCTGATCACGGGGATCACCCCGTCCACGTTTGTTCGCCAAGCAGCAGGCCATGCGCGCCACTAACAGGAAGACTACCAGAACGGACAGGACGGTACCGGAAACCAGCCAGACCTTGAAGCCGGGTCTCAAGTTGCACCAAGTGTGATATTCCGTGATGACCGCGAAGTCCTCGTCGTATTCTTGATCCTCCATGAGCCGCGGCTCGTCGATATGCTGCATGCCATGATCGCGCGATGATCAGTTTCTGTGAGAAACGCATCCGGCATTCTTATCACACGTTATCATTACAATTTGGAAGATCGATATAAATATGTGATATAATATTACAGAGGAATTGAAAATTATATAAATTGCAATATTAAAAGATATTAAACAATTAAAGTATGTAAAAGAAAATACTAAGTATGTAAAAGTATGTAAAAGAAATACTAAGACATATTTCGAGGAACATTTCATTGTCGTCTTACCTCATCGTTATCGAGCTCGTTTTTCAACAGAGGATCGGCGTCTTCTACAACATCGATATCCAGAAGAATATCGTTCGGGCGTGTGCCTTTGCCAGGAAGCGATCTGGATGGTGGACCATCGTCGATTCCATCGCAAACTATCCTCGCCAAGTCCGTCCACTGACCGACGTCCATCAAATCCATATGTCATTAATATCTTCGATATCATCAAACTTATCACTGGAAAGTCTGTAAAAACGAGCTTGCTGAAACATGAGAGATTGAGAGAAGTCCTGACATGACATATTTAGCTGGTTTCTGAACTTGAGAACTCACTCAAGTACTTCTGTCGGTGCGACGCCATGATCGGTGAGCTATTGCACAGCTTCAGTAAATTCGGAGTCACAATCCAGGGGATTGTGCGACAAATTCAGACTGGTAAGATTTTGCGTGGCTCTCGACGGTGATTTGTCGCAGATTATCGCGAACCGACAAGAACCTAAACGGAAACGAAAATGTGAGATACCCTGGTCAACGAATATCTTAACGTCGAAATACACTATTCAATAAATATCTTGATGTCACAGAATAATTTTGTTTGTAATTAAAAAGATTTTGCAAAAGCTTCAAATATTATTAGAAGATAATTCTGAATTTTCTTCAAATATGATAATAGAGGTCATAGTGCAATTTCAATAATTTTGGTTTATTTAGTTTTCTATAATTCTGCATCTAAATATTATTAGAATATAAATTGTGTTTTAAATAACAAATTCTTTTTTTTAATTATTAATAAATTTCCATAAAATTTCTCATCGAAGACTCTTCAACGGCACTCTAGCTTCACTCCAGACGCGCTCGACGTTGTACCGCGGCTCACGTCCAGCTTGAGAAGTCCTGAAATGCTCAGAAACAGCGTCATTTGCAGTGTTCTCAACGGATTGCGGCCAAGGTTCACTTTACTCAAAGATACGGCGCCGCGGAACATGTTAGGTGTGAGAGTAGTGATGATATTGTCGGACAGATCCAATTCTCGAAGAGACGAAAGATTATCTAGGAGTCCATCGGGCAAGCCGGTCAGGCGATTCTTCGCAAGCTTCAGCCGAGTCAACGCTGGCATTTTGTCGAACGTGCCTACTTTGATGCTGTCCAGACCACAATTTGCACACTCGAAACGAATGGTGCTGTTAAATAACGACAAAATTACTTAATACATAAGTACTAATTTATTTGGTATTTTAAAATAAAGCGGCAAAGTGACATATTCACCTGAATGTATTGTGCTCCAGATCGTAAGTTTTAAAAACTGGCAGAACTTGCAAAGCGGGATTGTCGTTCATCAGCAGAACCTGCAGTCTTGGATTGGATTTGAAATGATGCTCGGTTAACAAGGAGAGCCTGTTGTCGCTAATATTCAGATATTGTAATTGTTCGAGCTTGCTGAAAGCGTGCTAGTGGATTTTCTTCAAATTGTTCGACTTGACATATAATTAGTCCAATAATGGTACGCCTTCCAGATCCTTCTTGCCGATTATCCTGATCTTGTTTCTAGAGACGTCGAGCATCGTCAGTTTCAAAGAACTTATGGCCAACGTTGATAGATTATTTCCTAGAAAATATAAAATAATTCTTTCTCTATTAATTATTATATAGTTTCTAAAATAATTGTAAAATAACTAAATTTTAGTTTACTTATCAGTATGAGGCACTAAGCAATTAATCAATTAAGTTTATATTATCTCTGTTAAATTTAATCAAGCATTTACGATTTTTTATTTTAGCATTTATAATTTTAGCGTAGTATTTGTAGCACATGACGTGCAACAATCATTGAAACATTATCAAAATTAGAGTCAGATATCGGATTATCGTAGAATCAACCAAGAAATTGAAATTGCTATGATTAACTTACGATGTTCTTTCTTTTCCCCTTTTTTTGCACGATTTTTTGCATGATTTAACCACGATTGTATGACATATCTTCTATTTTTTTCATAATACTTGAAGAATGCAACGACGCCACGGAAGCTGTAAAAGATCGAATATTACTTACATAGAATGAATTTTTAAAACAAAAAATGTGCGTGACTAAAAAAGTAACAAATTTGTGATTAATACTAAATCTGATTGGAAGATTTGCATATATGTACAACAAATATGCAAACAATTTATGTTAATAAAATATTCGTGTCATATAATGATTTACTCAATATGAGTTTATAAATGAGGAATTCTTTAAAGCGAACGGTATTTTTTTGTCCAGTCCAAGAATATTGAACAGCTAAATTATCCGTCATTATTCTCTTCATTGCTCGCCTTATATGTTCCCCAGCATCCTTACCACCTTGCTTTATAATATTTTTCTACATAATCAAAACATTTTCCATGTTTTTACAAGAAAATGAATAAAAAATTTTATATATATATTGTGCTTACTGTATAAATATATTATATATGTATATATATAGTAAGACCTCCAGTCTTTTGCTTTAAGCTCTAATTGTAAGCTGTAACTTAATTTCCCACAAAGAAATGTTCCCTGCACTGTCTAAAGTTGCAACCCTTATATTTTACCCACATAGCAAAAAGGAATTATTATAGTGATATTACAGTGTAACAATTAAATGTCACAATGATATAATGAAATGACGACGTGTGAGTGCTTTCCATTCAGTGACACAAGTCGACACAAACGTCACTCTATCTTTCTTGGCATTCAATATAAGTAACGAAGAGAAAACTTGTGTCGACTTAATTGCATTAGTAAATGGAAGGCACCTTGTTACTTTTTTTGCTATAAAGGTAAATAAGCTCAAAGCATTAAATTAAGGAGTTATGTTTTCGGACAGCTATCGAAAATAAAGTCACAGCCTAGAGCTTAGAGCAAAAAGCAA